AGTAATGCTCCATCACTTTAACATGAAAGTGTCGCTTGAAGCATGAAAAAAACAACAACACAAGGCCCGTTCCTACAGGCAGTGTCAGACGCCGCTTTTGTTTGTTCCAAACGTGCTTTTTGTTTGCACTTGTGAAGTCTGAGCCGTGCTGAGTGAACACTCAGACTTCAGCTGGCACAGTAAGAGCATCAACGCTGATCCGCTGCCAAACGCACACCAGACTCCACAAAGTGTCGACACTCCAGGCAAAGAGCGATAAAATTAGACTCGATTCATTTCCGTTCATCCTCTCACTCCCTGCATGTTCCCTCAACCCTCCGAAAGGAGGTGGAAGAGGATGATACCCTTGCAAGAGATGAAGACCACCCTCAATTTTGAGTTGTGCAAAATGAGAGTTCAAAATGCGAAAAAAGAGACACATGAAAAAAGGACACATTCACATTACAAACAATAGCGTACATATTCAAATAGAAATCATATATTACATCTGTATTGGTTCTACATGAGCGATAGGTGAACATGATTTCACCAAGTACAACACGGTCCTGGATCAACACACCTTCCAACCAACCAACCTATCAGATTTGAGGGACCAGTTTACAGTTATGTCAAGTTTAGTTTTACAACCAGGGTTAGGTGCTTCTACATCAGTGTTAATCACTGAGCTGTCACCTTTAAATATGCTGATTTAAATATCACTTACATTTCTAATTATTATCAATGTTGGAAACAGTTGTGCTGCTTAATATTTCGGTGGAAACTGATCATTATTTTTCAGGATCTTTGATGAATGGAAAGTTAAAAAACAACAGCATTTATTTGAAATATATATATTTTTAAACAAGTCCTTACTTTCACTTTTCATCAATTTAAAATTATTACTTTCTTTATATACATATCTTAGTGACCCCAAACTTTTGAACGGTAGCAAATATGGAGGGGGCGGCACAGTGGCTCAGTTGGTTGCACTGTCGCCTTACAGCTAGAAGGTTTGAGTCTCGGCTGTAGGGCCGGCCCGTGGCATAGGCAGTATAGGCAAATGCTAAGGGCGCAAGCGCCTTAAACCCTAGGGGGGGGCGCCAGAGCCGCGTAAGGAACTTTCCGCTTTTATTGTACTTCATTAACACTGCAACGAGTGGAGCAATTACATAAGCCTGCCAGTGGCGCAAAATGTGGGTATACCGGTATGTGTAGCGGAGTAGGCGCCCTCATAAGATTTCATCATAGAATTTTGACAGGGGACCCCCCTCCAATAATATCGCGAGCGGGCGCGGGCGCCGTGAGCGCTGAGCGAACAGGCACGAGTAGTGAGTTGTCGTCGAAAAAGATAGATAAAGCAAAAAAGCGGCCGGGGGCTAAAATAGAAATAGCCCATTCGTTTTGTTTTGCTTAATCGGCGGCGCTGGGTTAGTGCTGGTGTAATGCATTGGTAAAAAAAAAAGCTTTTTTTCTGACACCGCATGAAACGCGTAGATCAGCGGCCCATTGGTTGTTTTCTTGATTGACACTGGGCTGGCCCAATCACATCTTTAATGTGAAGTACAGAAAAATACTCTTTCTATTAGTATAGAAATTAGTACAAAACTTATGAAAGCTTCCTTTATTTTTCAGTGCATTGTTTTACAATGAGTATTACCATGGGATTAATATTATAACTATTATTATGTAATGTAGACAGACACTAACTAAAAGAGGTTTGAATTTTTCTTTGTTTAATTTGAACACTGAATATGGGTTGGAGCTTTTAATTTTGAACTCTCAAAGAGCACCAGATTGATGAATTTAACATTAAAATGCACAAAATTTTCTTACGGGGGATCATGCCCCGTACCCCCCTAGCCTTGTAGCAGCCCAATGGATTAGTAATAATAGTAGTGGTGGTAGTAATTGTAATTTATCTACTACAAGTTACATGGTCAGATAATATGTATTTAAACAATGCAACTATGTAGGATGATTGAAATATCCTTGAACGTTCTTTTTTAGCATTTGTAAACAATTTATTACAGTTCAAGTCATAATTTGCTTGTTGAAGTTTTGGAGTGACTGTAAGAGCATTTTTGTTTAGTTAAATAAATACTCATTATTTTTAAAGGAGGGGGGGGGGGGGGGGGGGGGGCGCAAAAAAATCAATCTCGCCTAGGGCAACCAAAGGGCTAGAGCCGGCCCTGCTCGGCTGAGCCAGGAGTCCTATCTGTGTGGAGTTACCCAAACAATCCAAAAACATGCAGTATAGGTGAAATGAAGAGACTAAATTGTCTGTAAGTGTGTGTGTCCCAAGCCATGAATTGGGAAGAGTTAGGGAAAGCCCTGGCAACCCACCCTGGAAAAAAAAAGTCAAGAAAATTCATTAGCAGTCTCTCATGTATGGCGAGAGATGGCCATAGAATCACCAAGAGTCAGATATGACTGAAATGGTTATAGACTGATAGATAGATGGAGGAGATGCCAATATATAGTGTTTTTTCAAAGCTTATTGAAGGGTAATATATTATTGATTGGGGGGAAAAATCTAGATATTGGCATATCCCATAAAAAAAAAAAAAAAATTAATGACATTTGTCAACCACTGTAATTCTATAAGCCTTCCCTCAAAAAGACACAACATGAAATGCCATTTGCAACCCAATAAGCAGTATTTATAAGTGAAACAGGATTTTCAAAAATGATGATGACCAGCACAATTGGACTGTGAAAAGAACTGAGAATAAATCAGGTGGTTGGAGGAGAGAAGTTGAAAGGAACATGTAGTTAAAAAGAAAATAGGGTCAGTTTTAATTTCATGCTTACTTAAAACTCTAATCTCTAAGGTCTGTCACTTCCTTTGTCATCTTTCTTAGTTTTTATTCCCCATTTCATCTAATTTTTTTCCCCCATCCTGGACTCTCTACCGTCTTTCTCTCTCATTTTGTCTTTTATTCTCCGACTCACTCCGGCTCATTCATCACTCTCCTCAGCCTGTGTGTATCCCAGCATGCTCCAGTCCACCCTCCCCAACGAGCGCAAGTCAGCCATTTTTCAGCTGGGCCATACAGCGGGACGCCGGACAGCTTGGTTACGCCCCGCCGCGAACGAGCTGGACGCGGGCCATGGTGAGGATACTTTGTGATCATTAATTGAGCTGCCTCCGGTCCTTTACAGAGGGGAAGACGTCTTCATCGTGTGCTAACGTTTTTATAAGAACCATCGCTACTACCGTCGTATTAAGGAACAGATTCGCTTTCTTCAATGTAATACAACGAAAGAGAGTATGTGTGTGTGTGTGTTTGCACAAAAGAATAAGCCTCTTGGCAGAAGCTGTAAAAGTGTGTCATCCTTAACAAAGAGGCAATACGCTCTTTGGTTGCCATGGTGAAATTCATTGTAGCCAATTAGGTGCAACACCTTGGGTATATCTGCGTGATGGATTGTGTGTGTGTGTTGCTCATACCATAAACCATGTGTCTGGTTAACTTAAAGGCAATGTAGCGGCTTATTCATTACACACACACACACAAATGCTTCATAACAGGCGAATGAATGGTAGAGGCGCTAACCTTTACAAACCTCACTGTTTCAAATCACACTTTAGGGCCTTTAATGCTAAACCTCATGAGAGCATGTGGAGGTGCTTTTAGTCATTATGACCCTAAAATCTGGAACCTTTTACAAATTGCATTTATATGTATTCATTTATAAGACACTTTCATCCAATGAGGATAAAAGCCAACAATATTTGCAGCACACAATGATTAGACAAGCTCCCAATTTGTCAAAAGGTTAAAACCCTGGTGAAGATATTTATTTTTATGTTGGCTTTTTGAGTGTTTTAGGTCTGCATTTAACATTTAAATGACAAATTTTTCACTTTTTTCTTTCTCATTTCTTTTTTCATGTATTGCTTTTTTATTTTCTTAAAGGAATAGTTCACCAAAAATGTTTTATTTATCCCATAATTTACTCACCCCCAAGCCATCCAAGGTGTATATGGCTTTCTTCTTTAAGTCGAACACAACAGTTATATTAAATAAGGCAGAGTTTTTAAGCTCATCCATCATCCATCCATTCAGAAGCAAAAATGCCTTCTGAAGTGAAGCGGTGGATTTTTGTAAGAAAAATGTCCGTACGCGCATTACCAAGAGAGTCCAGTTCCGGCTGAAGGGTGACCTCTGACCCGACACATGACATAGGCGTAGCGTCAGCTTAGCTGAGAATTGATGAATGTGGAAGCACAGAGGGTAGAGCTAGACAAGCAAAACGAATTAGAAGTCTAAAACAAAAAGTTTTAAAGAAAAATGTCAGAGGATTTCGATATACGAGAAGAGGAGCTACGTCCTACATCAGGTCAGAGGTCACCCTTCCGCTGGAACGAGCGTACGGCCGTTGCCAGTGATTATAGTTTTAATATGGAGATTTTTCTTGCAAAAACCCATCCCTTCGCTTCAGAAGGCATTTATTAAACCACTGGAATCAAATGGATTACTTTTATGGTAGATGGATGTGCTTTTTGGGGCTTCAAAAACAAGTGGACACTATTCAATGCCATTACAAAGTTGGGAAGACCCAGGATAATATTTAATAAAACTCTGATTGTGTTCGAAAGAAGGAAGTCATATACACCTAGGATGGCTTGAGGGTAAATTATGGGATAATTTTCATTTTGAGTGAACTATTCCTTTAAAATGTTATTTCATTCTGAATTATGAAGCACGTTTTATGCATGAAAAGGTGTTTTACAAATCAAATATTAATAATATTATTTGTAACATTTAAAAAAAGGTTGAATTCATTAACATTAGTTCATACAATAAGTATCATGAACAATGATCAGCATTCTTCCTCTAGGTTAATTAATAAATCACTGGATCATTGATAATCCATGTTTATTCAATGTTCATATTCGTTTATACAACTTGAAATGGTAAAATGTTTTAGCATTTTTAGAAATGAACATTAACCTAGATTAATAAATGCTTTAAAAAAAAGTCCTGTTGGTTGTTCATACATACCTAATGCATTAACTAATGTTAACTTGGTATAGTATTACCTATAATAATAATAATTATTCAATTATTATTATTATAAATCAATCGGCTGATGCTATTTCTCAATGGCAACCAAAAAAAGAACAGCCCAAAGCTGACAACAGTGTGTGTGTGTGTGTGTGTGTGTGTGTGTGTGTGTGTGTGTGTGTTACCCAGTGCTTCATTGACTGCTTAAGTAGAATGTGCTCAATGGGGTGGCGTTGGGCATCTGTTCATAAAGGGTCACACAGATGTTCAATCCAGACACACACACAAATAAATGGAGAGCTGGTGACACGAAAGAGCATGTACCGCATTTAGCAATGTCATCTGGAAACATCTGGAGCCGAGAGAGAGATTCGGCATGATGAAAGTGGTGAAGGGCAGCGGTTTTGCGAGTCTCTTTGTTTCCTGCCTGCAACCTTTTCATCTGCTTATCATGTAAACACTTGCTTGGAAACAGATTTGCGGTTTTAAAGACCCTGTAAGACCAACATTAGTACAGCTTATTAACAGTGAAACTACATTTAAGTGTACTAGCTAGTTTAGGAGGTGACGACACACCTTCCCAACGCTAGTCGACGCATTCAAACACTCTGACACGAAACTAACAAGAACGACTAGAAGAAGTAGAAGAAGAAGAAGAGGTGGAAGAAAGAAAAGCTGTACACGTAAGTGCTCATCAGCGTGGAAACACCTACAATAAACACTGTTTAGTGGCCTGAATGCGTAGCTTTTTTCACCTAAAGTATCTCTTTTTAACGCTAGTTTATACACAACTAACTGATATTTACACAACATCGACAGAGTCAAGAGTTCATCCCAGATTGTTCTCGTGAGCGAGTTCGTGTCCTGCAGAATCCGTGGTTCTGTTCCAATGCGCAACATTGCCAAAAAAGCAAGCGGAAGAAGAGTGTATTTACAAAGAGCTCCGTTACACTTCACCTTCAATATGAAGGTTTACTCTGAAGATATACTCGTGTTTATTTAAAGATATACATCATTTACGCTCGTACGGCCAGGGGATGGGACGCAGGCATACGGGATGTCCTTTGGCAACGTCAGCCATACCGAAATCGACAGGTAATGTAAGTGGGAAGCAGTGGCGAAAGAAGGTTTATAGTGGAAAAAAAGAAGAACGACACAACCTTGTAGAAAATGATGCGAGACGTCTCAGAATTGGAATAGCATCGTGAAGATAACTAAAGCGGGATTACAATGACGAAAAGAGGACAAAAAGAGTCTGCTTCTCCAGTTTTCCCTGTAAATGCAGCCCAAAGACACAAACCGTCGACAGGTTAACAGACGTCCTGGGAGTTCCCATGGGTCTGGTCCTGTTCTGATCTTGTCTGTTGGATATGGGATAATGGTTCCTCTCCTGAAACACGTTCTCAGATCAGGATGATAGTCTCTATTCTGGCGCGCTCCGATGGGATTGGGCTCGCCCGCTGGTAATTCTTCCGCAAGCTGCCCGGCCCGTCGTCCGGCGCCCCCTGTAGTCATGCCAGCGCAGTGCCCGTCTGGCACTGAGACATCTGCAGGTGCATGGACTGAATGCTGTTGAGGATTTTCTTCTGATGGCCGGCTAGAGTCACACCTATCCTCAAAAGGTCCCTGTGAACACAAGAATGCATACCTACAGTTAATTTTGGACACACATACCAACGTACGTAGCTCTATAGTATACATTTCATATTTGGTCTTGGAATATATATCTTGGAATAGCTATTGCTGCTATTATGGCTGCTGCTGTATGTTATTGCTGCTGCTGCAGAGCAAGTACAGGACTTGCCACTGCCAATACATACACGACACACTGCTGTGAGGAAGTAAGACATGCTGCTGCTGTACAATATAGCGTACATGAATTACACGTAGCAGATCTATACAGGTGGACCTGGGGAAGGTGGAGGGTTTCTGAAAGCACGCTGCACTGCTAAGGCAAATGCTGACTAAGAATTTGAAGGTTGAGCACACAAGCTCATTGGCTATTGATACAGCAGGAACCAATCAGCTGTGCCCTATAGATAATGATGTGATTGCAAGCAGGTTGAGTTAAGGACTTATTAGCCTCCGCCATCTTGAGTTTCATGACAGAACTTTGGATTTGATGTGCACTTTTGTAAAGAATCACACAAAAGTAATTTATTTACTGTTTATTTGTATCTGCCGTCAGACTGTCTAAGACATCGTTATCACAACGCTTTGCTATGTAAAGTATCTTATTATAATGATATAGAAAATATATTATTTCATATAATACTAGAAATAGTACTATGAACTAATAATGAGCAACTCGCAAAATATATCAAAATTTACATTTTGCCACAGAATATTTGAATATTTAAATGAACAAATAGCCATTACATTTTAAATAATTATATTATATAATTTTAAATATAAGTAAAACACCTGGAATTTTATTATTTATTATGGAGTTTTTATTTGTCTCTCACTTCTTTATATTCAGCTTTAAGGCGTTTACATTGATGATTTGACAATGGCATTGCCCACAAGCTCTTAAAATACTCAGTTTGAATGTAGATGTCTCTGCATATATTAATGATAAAAAGGTTGATCACCTTGCTATCACACCAATGCCTGTTGTCACTGTTCTTCATTATCATCCACGCTAATGAACATGGTTAATTACGATTACTCTGGCAGTGGTACTGAAATACTCTAAAAGCAGTTTGCCAGATGGTACAAGAAAAAATTCACTCCCTAAGCTACTCTTGACAAGCACCTCTTCATGTTAGTAGAAAAACTGTCAGCACACCAAAAGGCCAAGTAAGATCACAACGGGTCTGCTGCAGCATGTGATTTTAGGTGACCGTTTCATCGCCACCTCTAAATTACAAAGACAAAAGAGCAACTCTGAATAAACGCTCAATTTTCAGAGAGAAGCTTTTATTCTGAATGAGAACACCCTGTACTATCAATATACGAACCATTCAAACAGCACAGAGCGAGAGGGGAACAGCACAGAGCCCCCACAGGTTTATAGATATGAGAGCAAACAGCATTAGCACATGAAAGCCACTTGCATTTAACTTTCTGTTTATGCGTGGGCTCATACTTATGTTGCTAATTAAGCACAGACCCTCTCTGTGAGCGCCGGCTGCATTAATCAGAGCTTCAGAGACGCTACAGCTCACAGTCTGCTTCCCGCCACGAACAAACCACCAGGAGATGTGTTTTAAACATCATCAACAGCATATCCACCTGTTCGCTCGATAGCGAATCAAACAAGTCAAGACACATGCGCACATACCTCAGCGATACGCACTAATCCTACTGTACGGTTCAGAAATCGATATTAAACAAGTTTGCGGAGATATCTGACCACCCCACATTCTGTGATCAATGCGCTGTCTGGAAATCTGAAACCAGCTTTAATCAGCCTTCACGCAGACAGAACTCACAGAGTATTAGACATCATCTAAAACAAACCAATAATATGACAGAACGGCTGAATGAGATGTATAACTGTGGTACACATAATGATTTTTGAGAGATGTTGTTGTTAACAGTGTGATCTATGAAAGCCTGTTTCCAACTCAGAGTAAAACATTTATCAGGAAAAGTTTCAAATAAGAAATAAAATAGCAAATGTGAGATTAAAAGTTGTAATTACGAGAAAAAAAGTTGCAGTTAGCTGGTTGACTATTTGTATGACCTGTTGGTGGGGTCAATTTGACCAACTTGGAGCTGGTAGGCCATCTTGGCTAAGAAAGTGAAGAACTGACTAAACACATCTCAAAAACGCTTCTGAATGGTTGACCAGTTACCTTAAGCTGATACGACCTGGTTTTAACCAGCAGCATAGAGCTTTAGTAACAATGATGAAAGCCTAATACATCTAATAAATATACAAACTTTAGAAACTAGACTGATTATTCACTGGTCCAAGCTGGTTTAGATGGTTGACTAGTTGCATGACCAGCTGATGGGGGCAATTTGACCATGTCAGTCAACCTGCTTAGAGCTGGTAGGCCATGTTGGCTAAGCTGGTGTTGAGCTAGCTAACAACATTTCAACACACTTCAGAATGGTTGATCCGTTACCTTAAGTTGGTAGACCTGGTTTTTACAGCTTATTTAGAAACTGTGCTTTAGTATTAAGATGCGTTTTGGTCGATTAGATCACAAGTAGACGAGGGAGACACATTCCCACCTGGTGTTTTAAATCCGTCTCTTTTGTCCACTTTCAACCACTTCTGTCCTGATTTCGAGGGGAGGGTCTATCGGTGGGTAAATGTATGTTTTTATTTCTTCCAGATCTTTTTACAGTTATTAACTTTTACAGTTAACAATTAACGTATGAACGTGTCTGGATACGACAAAAAACATAAACATTTGTTTCTGCTCTGAAAGTCGCAAGACCACACTGGATGCTGTGAGTGCGTGTTAGAAATCAGGAATGGTGAGAGTTCAACCAAACTAGGGTCTTCAGCCGTCAAAGTTTAAATCCTGTCTGGCTAGTGCGTTTCCCGTAATGTTTTACGTATTAGACCAGTAGGCGGTGGGCAGGCAATATTTTGTAGGCTGTTCGAACACATTCGACCACATGAGCGTTTACACTACGAAAGCAATGTGTTTTCGACTACCTCTTGGAAGAAGTGGTTGAAAGTGGACAAGCTCAAAACGTTTTAGACCCCGCTTACACCTGTATTTAGCGTCATCCACTTGTGATCCGATCGACCAAAACGCATATTAATACCAGTTGTAAACAGGGCCTTAGACAAGAAGTCCAAGCTGGTTTGACCTGATAGATTATGTTGATAAGCCTGGATGGAGCCTGGATAGAACCATGTTCCAAAACAGCTTGGACTGGCTGACCAGATTGACTATCTAATGCCAATATGACCTGTTGTTTCCAGGGTAGAAGTTTAGTGACAATAATGAAATGATTTAGAAGACACATCAAACTTTAAACTCACTCTGAAGTCATCTGGGCTACCAGCTGTAGGGATGTAAAGCCAGAGTTGAGGAAGTTGTCTCTGTACTGAGACATCTTAACAGCGACCAGCCAGTCCTCTACAGAACTAAAGGTGGTGAAGTCTGGGATGGACCTGTCCAACAACGGCTGGGACGGACTGGTGGAGGAGAAAGAGAGAGTGAGATGCAGGAGAGTAGAGGAATCAAATGACCCAACCTTGGGTGTCAGAGTTGCAGTCTTTGTAGGGACCAACACTGTGGGGACCTATCCTGTTTTTCCCAGAATGAAAACAGCTGCATATGGGGAATAATTATGTCTTAATATCTTTATTATGTAAAAATGCCAACATGTTTAGGGTGTGTTTTTCTGGCTAGTCTACAGGATTTACACTATCATTCAAAAGTTTGAGATTGGTAAGACTTTTTAACGTTTTCGAAAGTCTCTTGTATGCCCACCAAGACTGCATTTATTTGTTTAAAAACAGTAAAAACAGCAATAATGTGAAATATTACTTCAATTTAAAATAACTGTTTTCTATTTTCATATATTGTAAAATATAACTGATTCATTTGATGGCAAAATTCCATTTTCAGCATCATTACTCCAGTCTTCAGTGTCACATGATCCACATAAACCTGATTTGGTGATGTTGAAAACAGTTGTGCTGCTTCATATTTTTTTGTGGAAACTGTTATAGTTTAAAAAGTTCAAAAGAACATTTTTAGAAATAGAAATCTTTTGTAACAATGTAAAAGTTTTACTGTCACTTTTGAGGAAATTAATGCATGCTTGCTAAATAAAAATGTTAATTTCTTTCAAAAAAACAAAAAAAAATGTGTTTGAACAGTTGTGTTACATTTAACATAATTTAAGGTTAAAAATGGTATAAAAATAAAATATGATGAGTTTGTTGGACTCACATAGTGGGTATACTGGCGACAGCTTTAAGGCTGGTGGGGTTGCGGATGAGTTTGTCGAGCGTATTGACGATATCTGTGAAGCGTGGCCGAGCGTTTCGATCTTTCTGCCAGCAGTCGAGCATCAGCTGGTGGAGAGCAGTGGGACAGTCCATGGGGGGCGGCAGCCTGTAATCCTGCTCTATGGCGTTGATCACCTACACACACACAGATAATATTGTCATTAATTGCTTTGTTTTCATTTGTGGGGGAAGCATATATTAGTTTCATAGTGGATTTATAAACATGCAAATTCAAAATTTGAATAAATGATTCTTAAGTAATAAATGATTACTAAGTAAATAATGTCATGACTAACTCATGACAAAGTGTCACTGAATGAATAATTGAACAAATATTTTGAGTCAAATCTTTTGTATGAACAACAAACCCGATTTTTAAAAAGTTTTCAAGCATCCAAATCGCCATTGTTATGTTTTCAGTTGAAAACAGTGTCAAGTAAACAGCCCCTAAATGAAACTCTTTGTAAAAAAACACAAAACATTCTTCAAAATATATTATTTTGTGTTCAGCAGAAGAAAGAAATTAAAACAGGTTTGGAACAACTTGAGGGTGAGTAAATGATGAACTATCCCTTTAAATAATAAGAACTAAATAATACCATATCATAAATAAATAAATAAATAAAATAAAAACAGATCCAAAGGCACACTCTATTGTTTTATCCCACACAAATACCCTCATATATCAGTTTTGTTGCATAGAGGCCGCAACATGACACACAAACAACCAGTGAACATCATTAATCTTTAACTGTGATCTGTCGTTCTACCCTCCTCAAACACTGGACTCTCTTCCCATATTCCTCCCTTACTGATTCTATCTGACACAAGCAAACATCAAATGAACAAACAAACATGGTCTATCCTCTGCATACCAATTCGGAGCTCTGGTTTGCATAAACATGAATCTAAATATTTGAGGATCACTCAACTCTCTGCTCCCTCCACAGCGGCCGCTTTTCACCTAAACGGATTCCACAGGACGGCAGTGAGATGTGGGCTCTGAGCGCTGCAGATGTCCTGCTGTTTCATTATGCTGATATGATAGTTTTATGTTAATTTACGATTGGATTATTGTTAAAAACTCTAGAAGATCGGATAATGAAGTGTGTGATGGGCAGAAAAAACATTATCCACCTCATTCACAACTTCACCCTTGGCGGTTCTTCTGCGTCTGAGAGTATAACATGGGAGCTCTTTTGGTTTGTTTTTGGTGCATGTCATGTGATGTTAAACACTTTGTACAACAGAATTAGACAGCTTAATAGTCCTTCATAAGATGTTTTTCGTGAATATTTAACAATATAATTTTCAATGGATACAATCTTTGGGAAAAGAAAGTACATGCAAAGTATGTACAGAAAGTACATAGAGAGTATTATTGTCTTCAATTTATTTTCTTTGATCTGAATGTTCTGAATCTTTGAATGCTCAATTATTATTTTTTTTACAGTTGTGAGTACGGGAGTTGCAGTCACAAGTTCCTCAGGGTTCGTTTTGCATCTCTGATGTGTTAACTGGATGCTAAAAGGTTTGGGGAATTTATGTTTGCATTGGCAGGCTTTTCTGAAAATGCCAAGAGAGCCTGTGCTGTATTCACAATACAAACAGAAAAAAAAAACTTCTGTCTGCACTGAAACGCACATGCTGGAAGATTTGAATGCAGAAAGGCTTTGAGGTAGAAGGACTCAAAGCAGTGAACATCAGAGCCAATGAGATTGAAAGCCAATGAGACTTAGGGAAGTCTCAGTGTTTGTTTCAGGGGTCTGAGAGCGATTTGCAATACACTTTCTATACATCAAGAATGCATCATGAGGACCTACAGCTTCATTGTTCACATACATATTGCAAAACTCATTGGCCATCACAGGTTGCCATAAAAGGTTATGATGACACACAACAAGTTTAGTTGTAGTATTATTATAATATATTATATTATTAAATTATATTTAAAATTCCGTAATAATACTTACAACAACAACACTACTACTAATACTACTACTAATAATAATTACCATTATCGTTATTATTATTATTATTAAATACATATGAAAATATAACATAATAATGTAATATAAAGTGGACTAAGAATCACACAAAATGTTGTTTTATTATTATATATTATTTAGTAATATAATATAATATAGTATAATATAATATAATATAATATAATATAATATAATATAATATAATATAATATAATATAATATAATATAGGGTTGCAATTCTCTGTTCTGTATAAAATGTAAACTTACATCTTGATTGCTCATGTCCCAGTAGGGCCTCTCGCCAAAAGACATCACCTCCCACATGACGATCCCGTAACTCCAGACGTCACTAGCAGAAGTGAACTTCCTGTATGCGATCGCTTCCGGCGAGGTCCATCTCACAGGGATCTTTCCACCCTGAGGAAAAAAACAAAACATTTAAATGGGGAGCTGTCATGTGGATTGATTTTGTAGGATTTTGCAGGAATCCATGTGACTCTACATAACATTTATGTACACATAACCGTCCAATAGAAAAATAAATCACATTCACATGGACAACTGGGAAGTATGTTGTTTGAACAAAACAAGTAAGCAACGGGAACGTATCGACTCACTGAGTTTTACATCCATTGCACCTATAAATATTTGCAAACAATGGGCTGCATTTACATTTTTTAAAATTCAACACGACTGAATTCAATTATTTTTGCTTTACAAAACACCATAAAAAAATAGTACACACACACAATAGTGTATGTGTGTGTTTGCGAGGAGGGCCTAGTCTTGTCCATGGAGGGTGTCTGTCTGTAATTGGTCTACCTGAGGCAAGATTTGTGTGTCACACTGATTCAAATTGACAGTGGTTTGTTTCACCTTTGTTTCTGTTTCACCCGAAAGATTTACCTCACACACCCACCCATGCAAACAATGACTAAACACACACACACAGGTTTGAGAAACCACATGCTTTATGTTCCAGTGTACTGATGTCAATTAGTTCAGTCCTGCATCAGACATCAACCAAACAGTGAATGAAGAAAATTACTGAGCAGCATTCATGGAAGTGTGGTTTAGAATTTGTAGGTTTAGGCTTAAAAAGTGACAATAATAAAACTAATATTTTTGTGTGTATACCAGCTTAAAACGTGCTGCCAAGACACAATGTGGGTCGTTGCTAGGGCGTTGCTATGCAGTTCATTTGTCCTAAATGGTTTTTAGCAAGTGTGGTTGCTTCATGATTGCTTATTGTCTCCATGCATTCCGGTCTTTAGAAACGACTGGGGTCTCTACTTTAATATAAGTTAATATAAGGGAATTTTCCAGCACCTTAGCCCACCAGATTTACACTTTCTAAATGACAATTTAATGAAGTTTCAAAAAATAGACAGGAAATATTTCAGTGAGTTGCAGAAGAGGAAAAATGAATTCAAATGATTGTGCATGATGTCTGCTTGTGGGTGGGGATTTCTCATTTCTAAATGCAACTCTCGCTCAGTGTCCTTATGATGGAAAACTAAACACATAAGTATATGAAAGTACAACAACCCAACACAAGATTACATAATCTTGACATGTGGATGATCAAATGAAAAAAAATATATGCATGATTGGAGGGATTGGATGACCCTTTGTGCTTGAACTTTCTCCTGACCTTTGTGTTTAGTGACCTGAAAGACTCAATTTCATCTTCATCGATTCCAATAAAAGATTGAATGAACCTACAAACAACAGTCTTAAGGTCACCTTCACTGACCGCTTTCTGGCACGAGAGGTCTGTCACCATTACAGATGAAGCACATAAACACTGAATTCAGGTTAGTGACAATTACTTTTACATTGAATCCATGTAGTGTGAACAAAACAGAACTGATCCATTAATTGTAAATCCAAAAGCAGCACTGTTTTTCACCAATGACAGTGTTTGGAAACAAATGGGTGAATCACTGAAAGATGTAAAGTAAGCAAATACAATAAAATGGTATATCATTTATAGTTATAGTTTCGGATATGAGCTCTTCGTGTATAGTTCTGTTTCGGATATGAGCTGCAGTCTGACAGAACAATGAAGATCTGTACATGCACATGCATCTTTACATGCACACAGCAAACAACACTTGAACAACTGCAGAAGAAAGACGCACCACTTGTGTTTAATGTCCCAAACACAAACAATCTGCATTGGAAATGTGCCTGCATGAGGCAAGATGCAGCATAAATTTACAGTAGATCTGTGAAATATCTAAAAAGACAGAAGAGAAAAGAGACTGTCTGTCTATCTACTTTACAATACTTAAGAGAGATTGATGACAAAACATGAAGTAATGCAAAAATATAGAGTGGTGTAACACAAACCAAACACAAAACATATACAATGATATAAAATGACTCATACTTTGATAAAAGGTCCACCGTCCACCCCCATCTCACACTGATGTCAACAAACCAATGCTGCAAAATTGATGAATACTAGATCACCTTGTCTAACTGCTTTTAAATGATAACCCGTGGCCATTCGCTTTCTCTGTGGGCCTCACAGATCTAATTTGCTTATATCTTCTTCACTTACATTCATTTCAAATTCCAGTCCAAATTGTGCTGCAATAACATCAGCAGGCAAATCAGACGTCAGGGGAGCTGGTTCAGATAGCAGTAGGCTATCCGTGCGTATCTAACCTTTCGCCCCCTGTTCCCGGTCCCGTACTGCCCCGCCACCGCCCAGACACCCAACGGGGACAGTGCAAATTAAACCACGCTCACCTAATCCTTTATCATCCGTTCCTTTCAATTTCCCATCCAGGATTTTTAATATTAGATTATGACCTTGTCTTTCATAACCAGGTTAAGTATTCGTTTTTTCCTCTCGCTCTTTCTTTTTCTTTTAAGAGTTCTTTGTGCTTAAATGAAACAGCACTTGTACGCCACTGTGAACTGTTTTCACTGGGATCAAGTCTGTCACATGGCACTGTGCCCATGCTGCAGGTCAAAGGGCTGATTTCATGTTTAAATAATGACAGCCGAGGACAGCTGTGTGGTAAAATGGTGTTGATATCCTCCGTAACTTGCTAACCAATCTGCTCACAGTCAACATTTTACAAGAGAGGCAAGAGTCAAGGCTGCATAAACCCATGCAGGAAATTGAGACTGAATTGATAGTTCATATTGACTAAAATAAATCACAAAAAAATGCTGCAGTACAAATTATACACTAAAAGGGCAAACAACAGTTTTATAGCTGCTTGCACTTACGTTTTTTTGGGGTTAACGTGTAACTTGACCCCACTGTGGACATAGGTAGTACCTGAAATTGAATGTCTTGTTGAGGAGAGGTGTACAATTACTGTTATTAGCGATAAAATTAATGAAAATCCCCAAAACATGCATTGAAGAAAACACACAAGGCATATTTAGGGACCAGAATATCATAGGGCTCCAAGAATCCACTCAGAACATCTTCACAACCACCCAACAACATCCTGGCAACCATCTAACAACCAGCTAGCAACATTGTAGCAACCACCCACAACATCCAAGAAACCACTCACAACACCAGATCCAAGCAACCACCCATAAAACCCTAACAACCACCCAGTGACATCCTGGCAACCAACCAGAAACCACAACCACCCAGCAACCTCCTGGCAACGAACCAGAACCACTCTTGCAACCACAACCCCCAGCATCATATAGCAACTGGGTGGTTGCCAGGATGTTGCTGGGTGGATCTTATGGTTTTATGGGTGGTTGCTTGGATGTTGCTAGCTGGTGTTGTGAGTGGTTGCTGGGATGTTGTGGGTGGTTGCTACAATGTTGCTAGTTGGTTGTTAGAACAGCATACTAACAACTATAGCCCGACCGATATGAATTTTTTGGGGGCCGAGGCCGATACCGATATTAGGGAGTAAAAAAATCCCAATATCAATATATCGGCCGGTATTATTTATGTGTATATTTAAATATTAGCAATATTATTTGTGTATATTATAGTACAGTACCAGTCAAAAGTTTGGACACACTTTCCCATTTGTGTCACACTTTCCCACTGTGTCTACACCGTCAGCCCATTTTTTAGTTCTCTAGGGTTAACAGTGGTCCAGTCCCAAGCCAAGGCCATGCCCCAAATAACTTATATCAATAAATATATCAAAAGTGTCACTGGCAAAACCTTGTTATCTTCTATTATTAGTCTTAACTCCTCTAGTCTCTACCAGTGGAGGAAGTACTCTTTTTACTAAACGTCAGTACGTCATAAATATAATGAGGCATCAGTTTACTGTCGGAGATTTGTCGCTCGCGTCCCGCCGCATCCAGTGTAGACAGCATCACTGATTATAATGGGTTCAACTGTCTTTTGTTGAATGGGGAATTTAACGCTACTTTGTCACATGGTGAGACGCAATGCTATAAAGTAAATAAACATTGTCCTAGCATCCACTTAGAAAAATAAAATGTATAACAACTAGGGCTGTAACGATACGCGATATAAAATCGAAATCGCGATACTCAGGTCCACGATCCTGTATCGCGATGTGAGAAGGCAGAATCGCGATCACACCCCTTCCAACTTCCTGTCCAGAACCAGGGCTCGAATTTCGGCGCGGGATTGCGGGTATTGCGCATAATTCTAATCATTCCCGCAGGTCTCCCATTTATAATGCGGGAAATTCCCGCAATTGTAATCCACACAGATAATAAAATCAAATCATTCTTTTAACAACTATCTTCCAGACGCAATTTCACAAACAGCGTGAGTGTTCAGCGGTGCCGCGCGCGTCTTCTATCTCTTCTCATAATGTGTTGTGCAAGGCAGGCATCAAGAGCTGCGGCGATAATACACACTCGTGTTCAGGAGTCGGGACCATAGACTGTAAGGTCGGGACATGACGGAATATTCACTTGCACAATCGGGCCAGCAATGCATCGTGACTGAAGTCTATTTAAGTCTTACCAGTTTAAACATTCAAGCGATTTTAAACTAATCAGTGCTCGCGCACTCTCTGAGATTATTTTCTATGCGCTCATTTATAGAAAATCCGCCTCAAAAACAGCTGGCTAGTAACTATTTTTCGCGGATTATATTGCTTTAACACGCAAAATTGTCAATTTCGGTCTTTGTGAGTAGGCTATACTCTAAATATAGTTGGTTTTGTCTTTAATAAGCATAAAACGATGCCAGTATAATGAACACAGGATCCGTGCACTAGCTCTTAAAGTGACGGCAGCCATATGTGTCTGTCATTAATTTTGTTGTCAAACAACAAAAGATAGCTTTAAGTTAAAGGAATCAGGATTAATAGCCTATGTATTTAATTTATTCAGGACTAAAATACTACCCAGTGTTATTTTCCATTTGATTACTTTATTCAGTTTCTGTATATGAATACTAGTGTTAGACCTATTCAAAACTTTTCTCTTTAATTGTCTTTATTTGTATCTTTATTCTATTGTATTTATTTGTGCTACTTTTTTTCAATTTAATTAAACAATTTAAATCAAGCTTCCTTGTGATGTGTAAATTCTTAACAACAATATTACCCCATTGTAAAAATGCAATGAGCGCAAACATTTAGGCAAGATAAATGTAATAATTTTGTTTGGAAAAAATGCCCCCCCTTTCTCCCCCTCAAACAAAAAAAATCCCCCCCATGAGAATCATCTAAAGGGGAGATCGTTTTTGGCAAGTGGGGATCCCCCCATTTTCCAAAACGAAATTCAGGCCCTGAGAACTACCACATCTTTAAATTACTATTAGTATTATTTGAAGTTAACATTATAAAATACGTAGACCTACACCACAAAACTAGTTGAGGATAAATTATTTAAAATTTGGCAATTTCAGCATTATGGACTTGAAATTTGCAGCCAAAACTTGAAATATAAATTCTCAGAAAGTGCATTAAATGAATCCTCAATTGACCGGCAACACGTCCAACATGCAGATGCATATCCTACGGCACCATCCCGAAATCAATTTAGTTGGAGTACAGAACACAGCCCAAAAGCAGCAGCCTAAACTGCCTAGTATAGTTTAATAATTTGGATACTTATTATTGTTCTTTGGTGTTTAGATTATACAGGTTTTTCCTGATGTTATTTAATAAAAATACCGGTATTTTTTTTCTTCTCTCAAAATCTCTTTTTTTCACCACAAGCCCCGCCCCCGTGATAGAATCGCGATACGAATCGAATCGTGGGTCAAAAATCGTGATACGAATCGAATCGTGGGTTTGGTGTATCGTTACAGCCCTAATAACAACACAAAATCTAGTGTTACTTTAAGATTCTAAAAAAAACGTATTCCTTGGCATAAATGAAAGCATAAAATCAGCGTTCATTCAGAATGAACCTGGCTCTGTGATAGTGACCTTGAGACTTCCCATCTAAATGCTGTTTTACACTTTTAGAATTGTTCAAAGCAAGCTGTTGTGAGATCAGGAAAGATTAAGAAGCATAAAACGAGCACACATGTTGTTCTCAGCTGCACTGCACTGGGGACTGACACACACATACAGACAGGGAATGTAATAACTGATGGGCTTATATTGGCTTAGGTACCTGTGACACTTCAGACTACATCAAACACACACAAATGCATTTCTTGTTCTTAGAAAGATGTTTTTTTAGCAGATGAACAGACTGTACATGTACTAACTCTGATGGTGGTGAGGTCATTCATTCTCTTTTCAACACAAATACTAGCTCTACTGCTTGAGCTACAGGAGCAACAGTACAGGAGCAACAGTTGCCAACACTGATGCAACAAAACCAGACAACTAGTTTGTGATGGTCAGATGGCTTTTTTTTGTGTCATAGGCCAATTTCCACTGCCAGCAAACCACGTTGGGCAGTGTGAACTAGTTTAAGTGACAGTTCTTGGCCAGAATAAGTCGTAATCTGAACCATTCTTGACACTAACAGGCAAAAGTCTGGCTAAACAAGACTATACAATTGCATGAGATGCTAAAGGACATCAGACTTTAACACCTGGAACTGAGAAGACAAGTGTGGGAACATAACTGAAGACACTGAAGGAATTGAAATAGTGAATAAACAGGAAAGAGAGAATGAGCATGTCACATTCCACAATCTGGCATGCCTCGGAATGGAGAGGAAGAGGAAGAGGGAAACAGAAAGTGACAGAGAGGAGGGTGGCAGGGCGAGGGGGTGTCACACATTCAGATCCCACCTCAGTGTAAATAGTTTTATTTTCCATTTCCAGCACACAGCCACTGCACTTGTCATGCTGACAGCGAGAGGGAAGTCTGTGTTCATGCTGAGAAAGTGAGGGACAATTCTTTATTTCTTCACTTTCAATTTCACTCCCTTTTCTATTTCATCTCCTCCAAGACCAAGAATCCTCCAGTTTTGGGTGAGGAACTCATTGGCTAGTTTGTGTGTGTTTTAGAACAAGATTGTGTTATCTTCAAGTTAGACACAGTACATAAATAAGCCGAAAACAAATTTAAAAAGCAAAATGTCCATGTGACAGGAAGACAGATGGGCAGAAATACTTACACATTTCTCATCCTAAGAGTCCAGTACAGTACAGTACTGAACTGTGTGTCCAGACTGAATGACTGAATGTGACTGAGCTGTTCAGGTCTTACATTTTTCTATCCAAGTATGGACGGGAGGACGGATGGATGGACAAACAGAAAGACAGACATACAGAAAGAATGACAGACAGACATATACAGTAGATAGATATATAGATAGATAGATATGCCTACTCACAGTCAATATGTACCTAATCAGTGTTCCGTCACCAAAAAGGAGTGCTTGATGTCCTTTCATAAAACAGTGATATTGGACGCAGAGAGTGATTAATTGGTGAAAGAGTTGACAGAGTGACAGATGAAGCAACATAGTCAAACGACCTGAAATATCAGCAATGCATGGATGGATGGATGTGTGTGTATTTGTGTGCTAATCACATCACAGCGACTTAAACCTTCATATCTTCTGCGAATCCTTGTATAAATTCTACAGCATCATCAATGGAACAAAACACTGAAGGCCCTTTCACATGACTAGTGTCAACGTTCCCCTATGCAATGAACTCAGTAAAGAGAAAGGTCAAGCTACAACTTCTATGTCCGACACACAGGCAGACAGACAGACAGACAGACAGATAGATCAGAAAAATGGATGAATGGATAGATTATGTTGTATAATTTTATCAACCTAAACCAGGTTAGCAAACAAAAATGCCCCCCAAAAAACCCTGGGGGGTAATTAAATTCTCCCTCTATCAGTAAGGAAGACAGAGATGTTACATCAGCATCGCACCCCAGTTCACACCTTTGCCGCATATTCCTGTCAATCAACAGTCACCACAGGACATCCTGTTTGTGAATAGCGGCTGCCTTTGGGGCTTAATGAGCTTTCACACGTTTCAAGAGAGACAAAACGTTAGCTAAATATTCCTGTCTTTTGTCTCGTCTCCTTATCATCCGCCTCACATCTCTGATCACCAGCGCCGAGGAACCACCCGAGTGTAAACGATGAAATTGTTTGCTTACAATGCATGGGACATTTCGATGAGAGGTCTGAAGTGAATTTAAAACACGTTCAATAAAGGATGTGACCTAGAGCTGTTTTTCTCCAGTGCAGAGGAATTATGCATTGAAACGGTTGACCCTGCTAAAAGTGTGACTGTCAATGTACCAGCACCTCCGAAACCAGCCTGAATACAGAAATCATAACAGGGTCTGATAAGACGGAACAAGACAATGAATTATCAGTAAACCCAGATAATTACTAACGTGGCGAATCCACAGTACCAGAAATATCACAGTGCTCTGAATAGAGAGTCTTTAAGGAGGCAGGAGAAAATAGTATTTCATATTAATATTAAAGATCTGCAGCACAGGAGGGCTAATGATGCCTTGGATGCCTATTAATGAAACATAATAGAGAATTCTGGAAGTCTGAGCGCTCCATTTGGGGAGGCAGGCTATTGGAAGTCCAGTCACTTGGCTTTGTTCAATCACACACAGAATTTAAATGCATTTTTTTTTCTTCCCAGGAAATGGTCGTGTCCTGTCAGGGAGACAATTCACTGTTTCATTCTGGAGACATTTTAGGAAATAAAAGACAATAAAGCATATCCGAAAGAGAATATAAAACCAAAGCATGGAAATGAAGGACAGTATACCTGTCTTTTCAATTATCTCAAGCAAAAGTGCCAATCATGGCACCTATTATCTTCTGTTAAAATCAAGTGGTGAGTCTGATGTCCCTGGACAAAGTCTTACCAGTGAGCTGGTGTAGGTGGGGTCAGAGGTGTCTTCCTGCAGATAACGGGATAGGCCGAAGTCCGACACCTTGCACACGAGGTTGCTGTTGACCAGGATGTTGCGGGCAGCCAGGTCTCGGTGGACGTAATTCATTTCCGACAGATACTTCATCCCTGCAGCAATTCCCCTCAACATCCCCACCAGCTGGATCACCGTGAACTGCCCGTCGTTTTGCTACCACACAACACAGATATCACATGACATTCACCAATATGTCAAAGCTTAATCAAATGAGCTCTCTGTGTTTAGCTGTACACATCTGGTGGTTACTCTGGTGAGTCCCTTTCAAATTTCAGTTCAGTTCCTTAACTGAATTGAATTTGAATAGGGGTAGCAAACAGGACGTAGAACTCCAATTAAATTTTAAATGTAACAAACTTAATGTTATTTATAATTAGAATATTTGACTATATTAAAGAAGATTTAAAATGTGAAGATTTGAGACAGACAGGCAGACAGGTAGGTAGGTAGACAGGTAGGTAGATAGATAGATAGATAGATAGATAGATAGATAGATAGATAGATAGATAGATAGATAGATAGATAGATAGATAGATAGATAGATAGATAGATAGATAGATAGATAGATAGATAGATAGATAGATAGATAGATAGATAGATAGATAGATCTCCACTGTACCCTTGAATAAGGGGTGTTGCAATCAGCGTGGAATCAAACAGCTGAAAGTCGTTCTGAGACATGGATGCACTTTTAGAAACATGTTAATTAAATAAAAGGACAATTTTATTAAAAGGCAAACCCTTCAATAATTTGAGATTAACAGCAGCATGGACAAAATAAATATAAATAAAACAAATATAATAAAGTATTTGCACAACCGTAAAAGAAACATATTGATTTTACTTATTTGAACACCATTTGTGTTTAACAATCTTCATCAGTAGCTGTCTAAAACATGTTCTTTTTTTATTTTATTTTCTTTAACAGCACACAGTGGGGGACATTTCAGTTCCTTCGAAACTTCTGTTGCCACACAGTTGCCATGTTGCGCAAGTGAAAGCTTTGAACTGAACGCACGATAACAAACAGGGGTGGGGTGTGTGGATCGATGGTGACGCTACTCGGATGTGGTGGATTTTTAAGCCGACTTCAAAGAGAACCTTTATTGTGGCTCCAGATCAAAGCTAGGGAGAACCAATCCATGAGATTGAAAAAAACAGGCTGAACATCGATTAAGCAATGTACTTTTCCATGTCAGAGGGAAAGAATGAAACAGAGAGAGAGAGAGAAAGAGAGAGAGAGAGAGAGAGAGAGAGAGAGAGAGAGAGAGAGAGAGAGAGAGAGAGAGAGAGAGAGAGAGAGAGAGAGAGAGAGAGAGAGAGAGAGAGAGAGAGAGAGAGAGAGAGAGTGTGTGCTTGTTTTGGATGTTGCATTTACCCTAAGGAAAGAGTCGAGTGCCCCGTTCTCCATGAACTCTGTGACGATCATGACCGGCCGGCTTTTGGTGACCACCCCTTCAAGGCGAATGATGTTGGGGTGATCAAACTGCCCCATGATTGATGCCTCAGACAGGAAGTCGCGTCTCTGCTTCTCAGAATAACCCGCCTTCAGTGTTTTGATGGCAACGTAGATCTCTCGTTTTCCAGGCAGTTTCAGTCGACCTTTATATACTTCCCCGAACTCACCTGGGGCACAGAGAGAGGAAGAATGAGTGGGAGAGTATTTAGACCATAAAAACAATAAAGTGGTTAAAGATCCAAGCTCATAACTAAAAGACAGTAGATTCAAACTTCATAATTCAATGGATAGGAATGTGTATGTTTGGAGCAGTAGAAAGAGCTTTGAATCAATAAAATACACAGCAAATTGGATTCCCAAAAGCAAAACCTGTCGGAAATATGTCAATGATTGAAAGTCAGAATTTGAGAAGTTATATAGTTTGACTGCATGATGGAAAATCACTTATGTACTTACTTGAATTTATCCTTAACATCCTTAAAACGAACCACCCCAATTGAAAATTAACTTCAGTGATTCAGCAAAAAAGTTTCTGTATTGGTCAATCCAAGTGCATTCACATGTTACATAACTTCTAAAGCAAATAGCAAATAGCAAATAAAGAAGCCTTAAAAGTCCCAAAGTTTAAGTAATTTCAGGATTTAATCAAGCTGATTTCTGTAACTTTTCCATGATAAGTAAACCATTTGTAGGCTAAGTAAACCAATGTGGCAAACTGTCAACTTTTAAACATGGCTCAACCAATAGAGTTAGGCCCTGTCCTGAATGGCACCCTAAACACTCGAAGTCTTCCTCTGAGTCCGCACCTTCCTGACGTAACGCCGCTTTGACTGTCGGAAAGGAGTCAAACGTGCGCATCGAGGGCGCATATCGACCACAAAGGGGCGCTCATGAGCACCCTTCTGAAACCTAAAATGAACCTAAAATGGGACATCCTACGGTCTTAACAGACATGTGGCAGGCAGCCATTGTAAGTCCACAAGACCGAAAGTGCATATGAAGTGTGCAATTTGGGGCAGGGCCTTGGCTTGGGACTGGACTACTGTTAACCCTAGAGAACTAAAAATATAGTTACCAAATGAACCTCATATGAACCTCAAACAGTTCATATGTGGTAGCTTAAATGTTAAGCATTTGGGCTGTTAACACAAAAACTGCAGCTCGCAACCATGTGGATGTGACTCACTGGGTTCATTCTGACATTCAGCATGTCACTAAACCCCAGGTTGCATACAATAACTTCAGTAGAAGCAACTTTGGAACAAAACCAAGTTCGATTATTTATATGGCGCCAGAAGTGTTATAAAATCAATATAACTCAAGAAAAAAACGGGCAAAAATAGTAAGGGATAGGTTAAAGAGAAACTCTATCAACTTTGATTTGAGTTTTAGTGGTAAAAGGTTGAGAGTATTTGTTATGATCTGTGTGAAATCCATATGAGGTGCATCAGTGGATTAACTTTCGCTTTCTGCATCAGAGCAGACTGAGTCATAACTCGTCTTCACCATGACTCGGCAAGGAGACGAGGAGAAGAGCAGAGACCCTCAGGATGCTGTGTTGGGTGTCTTTCTTGTGATTGCGAGTAAATGCAAAAAAAAACCCCAAAAAACATGGCCATTGTAGCCTAAAAGTTTATGTGTAATAAATTATATGTTGAATTAAATCACATATTTCTTTCTAAAGCTACTTTTTGTAATGTATATTTGATGCTTTTCTCATTTAACACAATAATGACTTATATTAAATATCCATGTTTTTTTATATCTGAAAACTGTTATATCAATAATATTCAAAATGTCTATGCCATTTTAAAGCTTTATGCTCAAAAAAGTCAAAGTGATTCATGCATTTACACATGCACACATAGCAGAAACACACCACACACCTGCCCCAATAACTTCTTCAATCTTGACGGTGGAGACATCTATTTCCTTGGCGAATTCTCTGACGGCTTCATTTGGATCTTCGTAGGTGAAGGGGTCGATGTAGATCTTCATCCCCGGAGAGCCTGGCAGGGTCGGGCAGCCCATGGGAGTGTGGCAGTTAGAAAGATCTGGCCTCAAAGTGAGTTCTAGAACACAACAGAATCACACAGCTCCATGAAATGCTCTGAAGTTTCTTTCGCATAGTCTTCATTTCAGTGCAGTTGTAAAAACATTATGGCAAATCTATTTTATGATACCAATGAAAGGAGGTCAAGTCTGAGCACATTATTATAAACCATTTCTGTTTTAATGCATTTATCGAATCAGTAAATAAACAAATTCAATGTGAGTGGTTAAACAAGAGGCAATCTAAAACTTGAGTGGATTTATCTGAAATATGAAAATAATTACTGCACCCATCGCCTGGTGCTGATGACAACAATAGTTTCTCATAAAAAGACTGAAATAAATAGGGTTATGAATTGATTTAAATAAAAATACTGGCACCAAATGATTTTCATGACATTCAGTTCCGGTAACCATTCAGGTCTTGAACATCTGCATTCTTGAATATCAGCGATGAAGCATTAAAAGTAGTTCACACAAATCATTTGGACTATTTTTTATGAATACACTTATGGTGCTTTAGCATCCCCTTTGAAGCTTAAAAGTTTCATTGTAACTGTAAGGAAAACATCATTCAAAGGTGTCTCATTGTTTTTAAAGGAAGAAAGACATGCAGGTTAGGTGAAGTGGAGAGTCAAAAATGTGTGTGTGTGTGTGTGTGAGCCCTGGACTGACCATCTGTCCAGGGTGCTTTCCCCTGCCTCTGGCCTAAAAGAAACTGGGATAGGCTCCAGCACTATGACCCTAGAAGGTCGTATATGAAATAGATATATAGTTGTGTTTATTTCTTCCATTTTTTCCCTTTAAAAACATCATGGGATCATAGCTGCTGACTATGACATCATTAAACAGCGGTGGAACACAAGACAATTGCAGTGAATCACTCTCTCTCTCTGCTTCTCCAATAGAGCCGAATCAAATTCTCTTCTGCCTTTATCCCCCACAGGACCTCATAAACAGATAACGCAGACATGCTATCAAACCGCTCTCCATGGCAGAAGATGAAACTTCATGTGTAAACATCGAGGATGCAGAAAGTAATCTCAGAGAATCAGAGAGAACCAGCAACCCACACAAATAAAACAAACATTAAACGAGCTCTAAAAGGAGGTGTTCATATCCGCTGTCCAATACGAAAAAGACCCAAAAGCAGGTGTGCAAGCTGATGCAATCACACTGAAAGACACAGACTAACGTCTGCTTCAGAAGAGATGGACGCTGGAGGGCGGAGAGACCAGGGAATGTCACCCAGCGTGACAGGAAGGCCAAGAGACATTCAAGTCTTCCAGCACGATAATAACCCATCCTGCACACACTCGACTGACAACCATTTCAACACTGTGAAATGTATCAAAATTCACCCTATTTACTTAATAAATAATGAAGAATTTTATTGTGCATGATTCAACAGTGCATGTTATTATAAAGACGAAATGTGGGTGGGTCTTCATGATCTTGAAAATCATGAAAATATAATTACTTTGACTGCTGAAATCAGCTGTTCTTTCTTTTTCAATGCCATGTGAGCAGGGCAAAATAATATTAATAAATAATATAACAAACATATTGACAGTCAATCAAATATCAATAGATGTTGAAAAATCAAGCCCTGTCCTACATTATTTCTTACTTAGTATTCACTCAAAAATATGTCTCATTATTATTGTCTCATATCCAGAGAAAATGAATGGCATTTGACCTTTTGAAATAAAAGAGCTTTACATGACAACATAGTTCAAGTTAAAACTTCCTTTCCAGTAGGGCTGTGAAAGGATTAATCGTGATTAATCGCATCCAAAATAAAAAATGTGTTTACATAATATTTGTGTGTGTACTCTGTATAATTATTTTGTATATATAAATACACAAACATGCATGTATATATTTAAGAAATATTTCCATGTATATATATATATATATATATATAATTTATATTATACAGTTTTTCACAAAAGTGAGTACACCCCTCACATTTCAGCAAACATTTTAGTATATTCTCTCAAGTGAGAATACTATAGAAATGAAACTTGGATATATTTTAGAGGGGTCATTGTGCTGCTTGTATAGCAGTATATATTTACTGTCCTCTGAAAATGACTATATTCTTCTAATTCAACATACAGCCAATACTGTCAAAATAGCTGGAAACAAAAGTGAGTACACCCTAAGTGAACATGTCAAAACTGTGTCCAAAGTGTCAATATTTTGTGTGAACACCATTGTTATCTAGCACTGCCTTAATCCTCCTAGGCATGGAGTTCACCAGAGCTGCACAGGTTGTTGCTGGGATCCTCTTCCACTCCTCCATAATGACATCACAGAGCTGCTGGATGTTAGACACATGACGCTTCTCCTTCCACTTGAAGACGCCCCACAGGCGCTCAATAGGGTTTAGGTCTGGAGAAATACTTGGTCACTCCATCACCTTCACCTTCAGCTTCCTCAGCAAGGCAGTTGTCATCTTGGCGGTGTGTTTGGGGTTGTTATCATGCCGTTCGGCACAGTTTCTGAAGGGAGGGTATCATGTTCTGCTTCAGAATGTCGCAGTACATGTTGGAATCCATGTTTTCCCCAATGAAGCGCAGCTCCCCAGTACCAGCAGCACTCATGCAGCCCCAGACCATGATGCTACAACCACCATGCTCGACTGTAAGCAAGACACAATGTTCTTGGTACTCCTCACCAGGGCATCTCCAAACATGCTGGACACCATCTGAGCCAAACAAGTTTATCTTAGTCTCATCAGACCACAGGACATGGTTCCAGTAATGCATGCTCTTGGACAGGTTGCTTTCAGCAAACTGTTTGCAGGCTTTCTTGTGAGCCAGCTTAAGAAGAGGCTTCCTTCTGGGACGACGGCCATGCAAACCGACTTGTTGCAGTGTGTGGCATGTGGTCTGAGCACTGACAAGCTGACCTTCCGCTTCTGCAACTTCTAAAGCAATGCTGGCAGCACTTGTGCGTCTGTTTTTTGAAGCCAGCTTCTGCACCTGACACAGAGCACGAGGTCTCAACTTCTTTGATTGACCCTTGCAAGGCCTGTTACGAGTAGAACCCGCCTTGAAAACCTCTGTATGACCCTGGCCTGTACTGTAACTCAGTTTCAGGGTGTTACCAATCTTCTTATAGCCTAGGCCATCTTTGTGGAGAGCAACAATTCTAATTCTCAAATCCTTAGAGAGATCTTTGCCATGTTGAACATCCAGTGGTTAGTATGAGAGAATTGTACTCAAAGCACAAATTTTAACTGCTCTAATACAAGATACAACAATTTGAATGGTCCTGTCAAGCAGACAAAAACATGAACATGATGAATAGGACATGTGGCTTTGCATGGTTAAACGACATACAGCTATTATCACTTAGGGTGTACTCACTTTTATGTTGAGTTATTTTCACAGGACAGTAAATATATACTGATATACACATTGAATACTCTAAAATATATCCAAGTTTTGTCCCTTGAGAAGATATACTCTAAAATGTTTTCTGAAATGTGAAGGGTGTACTCACTTTTGTGAGATACTGTAAATATAAATATTTTATTTATAAATATCTTAAATATATACATGCATGTGTGTGTACTTATATATACAAAATAATTATACACAGTACACACACATATATTATTTAAACACATTTTTATTTTGGATGTGATTAATAGCCATACTTTCCAGAAAAAAAAAAAAACGAATAATTTATGCTGAGAAATAGAAACATTTATGCTGCAATTAGAAAAAATGTATGCTGTAAATAAAGGCTCATTCTGAGATCTTTTGACATCAGACGTTAGGTAACACTTTAGTTTAGGGTCCAATTCTCACTATTAACTAGTTGCTTATTAGGATGCATATCACTAGGATATTGGCTGTTTATTAGTACTTATAGAGCACATATTAATGCCTTATTCTGCATGACTTATGCATCCCTTAATCCTATCCAATACCTAAACTTAACATCTACCTTACTAACTATTAATAAGCAGTAATTAGGAGTTCATTGAAGAAAAAGTCATACGTAATAGTTAGTTAATAGTGAGAATTGGACCCTAATCTAAAGTGTGACCAAAATTAATACATCCAAATCAAATTTTGAACGTCAACCATGGCTATTCAGTGATCAGAAACCAGAGGAGGAAGCAGAATACATGCTCTTATTCCATAACACCACAAAACTAACATGTGTCTTTCACATGTTGTGCTGTTCTTCAGTGTGTGCAGCACCTGCCGCTCTGCAGATCCTTCTGAAGGATCCTGCAGTTAGAAGCAAAAAGTCGAAGTTTATTTTAACAAGGTCCCTAGTCATTTCTAAAGCTTTACTAACATTTTAAGTGGACATCAGGGGGAAAAAACTGATGAAAGGAATGTATGATATGAACCCTTTAAGCTGAAAAATGTCATGAAGGTCTGTTGAATTATTCATTTCAAACACACAACGTGCACAAACCTACAGAGTGCTTTAATTTTAGAAATGCGGCTTTCGTTCATCAATAACTCAAATAGCAAACAGTTTATCTCCCCTCGTCCTCTGGAGTAATGCATCGTAACAGCTCCACTCGTTTCTTATGGCTGAGAAAGGGAAATAAAAATATATATGTTAATATTTCATAGCCACTTGATCCATGCGTGCCTGGAACGCCAACTGCTCTGCCACTTCACTGAACCCCAGTCCCACAGGAGAGAGAGAATTAAGAGAGAGAGAGACCAGAATGCATCACTTCTACCTGGACACTAAAAACCCTGTGAGATAGAACAGAAACTTCTGGCCAAGCCCCCGAGGACAGACACTTGCACAGCATCCAAAATCGAATACTTCCCTACTGTATAGTATGCGAAAAACAGTACGCCAAAACAATAGCATGTCCAAATACAAAACATTCAAAAAAGTAGCTGAAAAGTATCCGGATGACCTACTACTACTGTCAAGTTTCTGAAGTGTGCATTTGATGGACACTTTACTGTCCCATGAGGCCACGGGAGAGGATTTTTTGAATGGAAGTGAAGCAACGCAACTGACGCTGGTAGATCACGTGACAGTAACAACATGGCGGATGTAGAACATCCGAATTCTGATCATGAGTTACTGTAGTCTTTCCCATCTAGCGTTGTTAATCTTGGTTTGTGAATAGGATCGTCTTAATACACTTCCTGCACACTGCAAACGCCTGACCCCTGGACTGTGTAATCGCATTGTTTCTGAGCTTTGAAAGAACAGCCGTCTCTGATGCGTCCTGATACATAAAAGGATCTGTCTCAGGTTAAGAAGCTTTGAGAATATCAGCCCATTTGTGCTCTTATGCGGAGCGTCTGACACAGTGTAAGCATTATTTAGATCAGATTAGTTGCATCTCGCTGATCTCTCAGGTGAAAGATGATTTTTCTCTATCTCTCTGGTATTAAAAAGCCATGCGTTATGAAGCGTACTCCATTATGACTCTGCCACATTATGGGTGCCTCACTATTGCAAGGTTCTATTAAGTTTTAAATCAATATTTTACACACAACCATATTTCCATTTTGTGTCCAGCATTCATTTTTCTTCATTCACAGCAATTTTCTTCATTCAGATCCTTAGGGTGCTCATTATATATATATATATATATATATATATATATATATATATATATATATAGAGAGAGAGAGAGAGAGAGAGAGAGAGAGAGAGAGAGAGAGAGAGAGAGATATTGGTGGAGAGAGGTGGGCGTTTCATTTGTTATCTGGTTCCAGCTTGACAACAGCACTGGTTGTGACTCAGCAAAATAAAGGTACAGAAATAGCTGTGACACAACATAGAGCATACAATTTCACACGGACTCCTACAGTTGCCTGTGCACAGTCCTGCAGCAAATACATGGAAGAAAGGATTATAACAAAAAAAATGTTTTGTGCTACAGTAACACTGTATTGTTAATTAGGCTGTTTTTATCTATCCGATATATGCGCATGGATGGATGAAACAATACAAAAAGACTGGAAGACAATAGAAAGAACAAAAGAGTGATGGAAATCAAGTGTAGCGTCAGTTCTGGCAGGTCACGTTTGCCAAGCTCGCATCAGCTGATCCACGTCTACCTACAGCACTACGACGCCTAGTATCACAGCATCCATATATAAGCTCCTTCAGTATTATCAGCAGCTATTGTGTTCCTCAGGAGCTAATTACCCTCCTCCATCCCCAGCTCCTCCTCTCGTCCAGTCAGGATTTGGTATTCTGATTCCTCTTTGGATCAGACTAAATTCTCGAATTATGTTGTACATTAAAATCTATCTGCAATACATTCATGTTGGTTCTGTTCTGTTCACCCTAAGGGGGGGTTATTGCTGCTCTCTCTGCTCTTATCCATGCTAGGCTGCACGGATGCGCAGAGAGTTCTTGCCCAGAACAGAACCATACCGCCAATCCAAACTGTATGCTAACTGTCAATCGTATTTGACGATAGTGGTCCTGACAGAACAATAGAATTGAATGATAGAACAATAGACAGATAGATAGAACAATGGATAGATAGACTGATAGAACATCAGATAGAATCTTAGAATGACTAAATGAAAGACAAAATGATAGATAGACAGACAGACAGACAGACAGATGGACAGATGGACAGACAGACAGACAGACGGACAGACAGACGGACGGACGGACAGACAGACAGATGGACAGACAGACAGACAGACGGACAGACGGACGGACGGACGGACAGACAGACGGACGGATGTATTTTTAGATGTGGCTGTTCTTGAAATACAATATATACACCTCTGCTGAAACGACCTAAAAAAATTTAAAACATCAAAACAGCAGGCGTTGCTAATATCCTTCATTAGAAACAATAAATGGTTATTAGTCCAAATAGCTCAGAGTAATTAATGGATATGAGGTCGCTGTCCTTAATTTCCAGTCCAAATTCAACTTCAGTATTTGGGGAAATGTGATATGCTTGCAATTTGAATAAAAGTGTCCTAAATAATAAAATGTAAAAGTGGTTACTAAAACAGTTCGTTAATGAAGTATTAAATGAATATGGGGTCACTGTCCCTAATTTAATAGACATATTAATAGACATTATTAATAATTGTATATCATCAAATATAAAAAAAAAACTTAAATCAAAAAATTGCAGTATGATAACCATTTTTTTACCCAAACACCATAGTCATTAATACTACAAAACGACTACCATTGTCAATAAATGAATAAATAAATAACACTCCTTCTTTAAATATTATATATATTATGATTTTACAGTAATAACAATAACTGTAGCAATTATTTACTTTTTTTTTGTGTAGAAACTGTGGTTCCATTTTTGCAAAAGTCAGCCTGTCCTTGGTGCTGGAGTAATTCATAAATGTCCTGCTGGATTAAGTTTGAAAGTACTGATGAAGTTCACTTCTGTATTCCAGCACCTTAAATAAGTTTTAATAATGCTAATGTTAGAAAACCCAAGGATGTCTGTGACATTTTGGCCAATTATATTCATAGTCAAAAGTCTTTCTCTTAGTTTTTAGCTCATATGCATTGACATTCAAGACTGAATAAATTTTGATACAGTAATTATCTGAATATTTCTCCTCACAACGAGATCATGTTCTCACAGTCTTAGTCCTCTGTTCTTTATTCCTCTTTCTAAATTGTCTGTTTGATGTGCAAGTCTGGCTGTCACATCATTTGTTTACTTTTTTGTCTGCACTTATGTTAATTAAATTTGGTTTCGCAGATCGCCCACCGAATCCTCGGAGAGGTTGCTTACAAGGAGGCCGAGAGAAAGGGAGAGAGAGTTCTCAGTTCCTAATGAGCCTGAAGCTTCTTGCAGGGCTATGGGATGTATACAGGTAGGAAAAGCTTTTTAATGTCAGCTTCTAAAAAGTGCACATGCCTGGAGCGATCCCTCGTTCCTTTCCTCCGTTTCACCGCATCCCCCGGCATTTCCTGTAACCTCACATCTCTATCCTTCTGTTTTCCTCTCTGTTTACTTTCGCTCATATTCAAAACCCCTTTCAGGTCAGGTTTGCCCCAGAGGAAGGGGCGGAGCTGAGCATAAAACAAAGATGTCCGTCAGTATTAACAGTGATTTGCTCACCTCTGCCAGTGCTGTAGTGCTGGAGTTTGTCACTGTACACAGCCTCCTTATTGTAAGCTCGTTTCCTAAGAGAAAAAGGGGAAGAGAAAATACAATTAAAACATATAGTTCATAAATGAATCTGGATTTGCTCGGCTGGCTGAAACAAGTGTCTGAGTCTTATAGGGTTAGAGTTAGCCTTATAGGGGCTTTCGCAACGGAGGAAACTTTTCATAGTTCCTGGAGCTATCGGCGAAAGTACCCGGATTTTGGCGTGTTCGCACTGCAGGAACTAGTAACAATATTAGTTTTACTTCAGAGTAGGGTCTAAACCAGCACTATAGGAACTTTCCGTGGTGTTAGTATACGCTGATTGGCCGAACGCAAGCGTAACACCAGCACCCGCCATTTTTTTTAAAGTTGTGTAAACACAGATTATAGCCTATATATTTACTCCAGAAACTAACTCTACAAACATGGATAACAGTGATAGATGGGCCTCTTAACTTTTACGCTAAGGAGAAAAACCAACCCAAGTTTGAGGGGACCAAGCGAAACATGATTATATATTTCTGCTCAGCTAGCAACACTGGACATCAACCACACGGCATACGCTAATAACATTTCATATACTGTCTACTTTCTATGTATAACAGTTCTATCTAATAACGTATTAGACAGGACTGTTAGACAGATCGTAAACTAATGAACACGGAGGATGCCAGCACTGTGTGGTCTGGCGTTCTCAGCACTGTCAAAATAAAGGTCAGCCGCGCCGTCAAAATAAAAGTCACAACAACGAGCGCGGCTTACGTCACTTCAGAGTTCCTACTGGCGGTGCAAATGCAACCAGGAAAATGTTCCTAAGGGAACCATTAGTTTTCAGGGAACCACCCTGGTGGCTAGTTCCTAGAAATAAGTTCCTAGAACAACCCGGTGCGAAAGCCCCTATTGTGTCACATTATAAGCGTCTAACATTTATTCGCTGTTTTAAGTGGGGCAGAGGTATTTTTTAGGTCAGACGTTCTTTGAGAATAGTTGTTTTGGTGGTCTGGTGTTATCAACGATACAAAAAGGAAGTACATTCGGGCCAAATGGCAGTTTATTCTGGCAAAGAGCCACCTACCGTACTCAAGTCAGGAAAAGACCGCTTGATAGACATGTCACGCCAAGTGACCAATCGCAGTTGGCTTTGCCTTTGTGTGTCATTTAGGGTTCCATATTCAATATTAGTACCACAATAATAGGTAGGCACATAGGCCTTTCAAAAGCTTTATGATCTAAATTTCTGTTTGACCAAAAGTAAAGCCTGAAGTCAAAACATTTTGTCAGTTTCTTTTGGATATCGTTGTGTCTGGTGGTTTGCAGAGGGAGGCTTTTTTTGATACAATTCCTTTTATGTATGGATTAAAAGCATGAATTGCTTACTATTTACAGGAATTGCATCACCTCACTCATCATTAACGTTCCCCTACAGCAAAGAACCAACTTATATAAAGATCAATTTATCAGCATGAGGTGCGCTTGTGCTCTGAGGAGAGCTAGTGCCAGTCCTGAGACTGACTCTAACCAATGGGATTTGAAACATGGAATGACACTAACAGATCACTGGTCCGGAGCCCAGAGTAAATATATATATATCGTGGCCATGAGTGAACAATTCGTTCCCACAAATTAGGAATTCATTCCCTCGTTTTAGTAAATTGTGGCCATGATTAACTAATTCGTTCACTTGTTTTAGTTAAATTGTGGCTACGAATTAAGAATTAGTTCCCACGATTCATTTGTTCCCTCGTTTTAGTAAATCGTGGCCACCAATTCGTTCCTTAGATCTGATTTAACATAAAGAAGGGAGAAAATTATGACAACCTGGCCACAATTTAGTAAATCAATGGAACAAATTAGTAAAATGTGGCCACAATATAAATTGTTTCCCCACATCGTCACGTGCAATCAATACTATGGTGTTAATAACATTTTATTAATTATATTACAAGCAAATGATACAGTATATATATATACTGTTTATGACTCTTTTTTGTATCATTTTTGTATATGTATTTTTACATACATTTTAAGTAAAAGGATGAAACGGGAACACATTTAGCTAGTCTGAACTCGCTCGTGTCTTTCTCTCCTTGCGTGCACATGCAGCAGCCACATGTCTGGCTCCATAATGGCGAACTCACCTGCTACAGACTATAGATATGGCCACCAGAGACACGATGAAGACCACTCCAGCCGCGGCTGAGCCCGCAATCAGCGGCAACTGCTCCCTCAGCTCTGATTTATAGTCGTCTAGACAGAGAGAGACAGGATGCATTAGGCTACAGAAATAACTGAAATGGCCACTGCCTATAGAGATGAAACAGGGGATGAAAGAACGTAAACAAAACATTTCAAGAGAACCTATTCAGGGAAGCGTTTCATGGACTGCATGAATAGGAGAATGAAAGAGAGGGGGAGGCGGCACAAAGTCGTATGGAAAAAAGGAAGAATAGGAGAATGAAGAATTGTGAGGAGGTGTGAGCTTTGAAAGAAATAGAGGAGAAGGGAGAGAGGGATAATAGAGTGATACAATGATACAAAAGGAAGTGCTGAAACACAGCGGTCAGGTAATACTAATGCCGATTGCTGACAGATGTCAACTGAGAATGAGTGATGGAAAAGGATAGATGGAATGAATAAAGGGAAGGAAAAACACTTAAGGTACACAGCTGAATGACAGTGACCAGTGAAGTGTGTGTGAGTGAAGTGTGCGGCCACAGCACCGCAAATCCCACCGTCACAGTCTAAAAACGACAAAGAAGAGGATGGGATGTCCTTTCTCGATGTTCAAATACAGCCAAACGCTCGACCAGCTCGCACATGAAACATCTGTGTGGTTTGGAGAAGCTTCTTTGACGCCGTAGCTTGCTAAGCTACAAGCTTCTCATGATTTTACGTATTGCAGTCATGCTAACTTATAGTTAGCTACACTACAAACAAACAAAATGTGGCTAGCTACATGAAGCTATGTAAACATAAAAAGGTACAGAGAGAAAGATAATATCAGATAGAATAATAAAGGAAAGCTGGGGGGACTGATATACATCATGATTTGTCAGTATGTGTGCGACAGACAGATCTAATCTCGTGAAAAAGCTGCTAGCTACATGAAAAACTTAAAAAAAACAGTGGTTACTTATGAATTTCATTGCATTGTACGTAAACTTGCTATGTACGAGTTGCATTTTGCACATTACCGTTCAAAAGTTTGGGGATACATTTCAAACAACTGATCTTTAAACCGTTAATAATAAGAAATGTTTCTTGAGCAGCAAATCAGCATATTATAATGATTTCTGATGGATCATGTGAAGACTGGAGTAATGATGCTGGAAATTCAGCTTTGCCATCAGAGGAATAAATAAAACATCTATTAAAACAGAAAATGCTTATTTTAAAATGGAACTATATCCCTGTTTACACCTGGTATTAAGATGCGTTTTTGACGATCCAATCACAAGTGGATGACGATAAATACAGGTTTTTATGTAAACCTGGTCTAAGCTAAGTAAACGGGGTCTAAAATATTTTGAGCTTGTCTACTTTTGACCACTTCCAGAGGTACTCGGAAACGCATTTGACCAGATTGCTTTCGTAGGGTAAACACTCATGTGTTCAAATGCGTTTGAACAGCAACAAAAGACCGTCTACTCTCCGCCTACTGACCTAATGTGTAAACATTACAGGGAACGCAAGCATATTTTGTCCATTAGATTGAAAGATTTGAAAAAAACCTTTACCTGCCCATAGACCCTCCCCTCAAGGAAATCAGGACAGAAGTGTTTGAAACAGGACAAAAGAGACTAAAATACCAGGTGTAAACTGGAATGTGTCTCCCTCCTCTACTTGTGAACCCAAAACGCATCTTAATACCAGGTGTAAACAGGGACTATATTTCACAATATTACTGTTTTTACTGTATATCTGATCAAATAAATGAAGCCTTGGTGAACAGAGACTTCTTTCAAAAACATTAAAACAATCTTACCGACCTTCTCTTTTGAACGGCATGTGACCTTCCAAAATATTTTTTCTTTGAACGAGGGTGTATTGAAACATTGCATATGTGTGACGGTGTAACTATGTGTGTCATAGCATACTATATTTTAACAATCGCACTGATGGTCGTTCTTAGCGTGCTGGCTAAATCCATAATGGCCAACAGGAAGTAGAGCAGTCTCTGTGAGCACTGGGCTTAAACACACCTCATTTAACAGAATCATTTCTTCATCATTACACCTGGCTGTCAAAACGAGAGAGCGAGAGGCTCCGGGGAGAGCATGTGTTGTGATTCTGGAGAAGGTGTGTGTGCGTGAGGTGGACTTCTCTCCCCTGTGATTGGTGCTAATTGTCGTAACGAATGTCGTGCCATGGCAGAATGCCAGTGGATGTACCCGTTAGCTGGCGAGGAGCGAACGCGGGCACTAATTACTTTAGTGAGTATGACGGCACGGAGACGCCTCCACACACGCACAGGAAGTTTTGTCTTCATCAGTGTGACATCACCGTTGTCTATCAGTATATTGTCTTAATTTGTTTAAGTGTGTAAATACTATTTGTCTGCACTGTGTGATGAACAGTATGTATATGTGTGAGTCTGTCTGTTTTTAGAGTAGATGTCTGTTTATGTATACTGACATAGGTAATTTAGTTGCCAACTTATGCATGTGTATTGCATGCTGGTGTGATTGGCATATTTTGTGTTCCAGTTTCAGGTGTTTGAAACTGAGGATACAGTTTACAGATACAGATATAAGTTGCAAATACACAAAACCAACACATGCATGCAGCAAATGACACATAAACACACAAACTATTCAACCATTCAAATCAGAATACACACACGCATGCAACAAACATGCAAAGCATGCATGCAACAAACACAATTAAGCCATGCACATACACAAACACGTGCAACAAACACAACAAAACTTGCAGTACATGCACAGATTGCACACAACAACTGAAACACAAATCAAAGACAAATCACACATGCAATATGCAAAACATAAACATACAAATCAACAATTAAAACCACATATACAAATCATGCACACACACACAAGCACGCAACAAACATGCAAATAAGCCATGCATGTTTTGAGTGTGTATTTTAAATGCTGATTTGCAAGTTTGTTGTCTTGACTGAATGAATGATTTGTGTGCTTATGTTCATTGTGTGTTTGTTGCATGTGTGTTGTGTGTATCCTGCATATCCTGTAGCTCAAACAGTAAAATATGATGCTGCTGAAGCAATGCCAAGGTCACAGGTTTAATACATTGAATGCAATGTAAGTGAGTTTGGATAAAAGTGTCTTTAAAATGCATGATTGCAGGTGTAAAGCCCAAGTGCATAAATTATAGTCAAGTAAGAGTATCACATTGTCTAACAACAGGGCCATGTTCACACATTAGACCTGTGTCTCTTTGTGTGTGTGTCCCAGATTGCCAGTGCAGTTCAGTTATATTTACACCAATGTGACAGCAAAGACAAGGAGGGTGTAAAAGATGAAGCCTAAAAAATGGATGTGCAAGTGAGCTGGACAGGTAAACTGTGTGTGTGTGTGTGTGGCTCCAGGAACTAGCCAGCTGCCTGGCGGATGTCTTTCTGTCCTGTAGAGTCCAGTCCCCCTTGGCATCCACAGTGTGTGTGTGTGTGTCTGTTTGTCCCTGGCACAGTCATCAGGCAGGATATGCTAGACTACAGATACAACGCCATTAATCAAACCCAAGAGAGAGACAGAGGTTAAGAGAGAGAGAGAGAGAGAGAGAGAGAGAGAGAGAGAGAGAGAGAGAGAGAGAGAGAGAGAGAGAGAGAGAGAGAGAGAGAGAGAGAGAGAGAGAGAGAGAGAGAGAGAGAGAGAGAGAGAGAGAGAGAGAGACTTTATGTTTCTTGTTGTTCATTTTAAAGTTTGAAATGGCCTAAATTTCCAAAGAACATCAACAAAACAGAAAAAGACTGGACTTGGAAAAAAAATGCACCCCAAATGAAACAAACTGAATTTTTCCTTTGTGTGTGTGTGTGTGTTTTCAGAACTAATAAATGAAATGAGCCCTAAGACACAATAAACACATCCACTCACTTCCACTGAGAGAGCGAGAGAGTGAAAAAACAGAGAGAAAGAGAGTGAAGAGAAGACTGTTAGAAAGAATGAGAAAGTTTGCTGGGATGAACCAATAAGACACAAAGCATGATAGATACAGACAGACAGACAGACAGACAGACAGACAGACAGACAGACAGATAGATAGATAGATAGATAGATAGATAGATAGATAGATAGATAGATAGATAGATAGATAGATAGATAGATAGATAGATAGATAGATAGATAGATAGATAGATAGATAGATAGATAGATAGATAGACAGACAGACAGACAGACAGACAGACGGATAGACGGACGGACGATGCACTAGTTTATGATCGAATCAGGAAATAAAATGTACAAGCATGGTTTTGCAGATCATAAGCAAACTTAAAACATTACACGTCACATCCTGATGTCACGTGTCTTTACGGGATCTTTACGGGATGTGTGTGAACACACGCACAGATTCCAGAAAATCACTGGCAGCGTGAATGAACCTAAATCAAATGAACCCGGGACAAATCCCAAGACACATTATCAGTGTGAAAGGGGCTAGTGAAGATCATACAAAAATATACTGAGCATAAAAAAATAGAATAGTGGAGCGTTTCTTTCGACACAACTCTAAAATAAAAATCTGCTCAAGGAATGAAATCACCCAGATCCAAAGAGCGCCTCCACACACACACACACACAGGCGTGGGGGTTCGTACCATCTGTGAGGCTTTGGAAGCACATTTTGCTGCTGTATTTTCCGAAACCAGCAACAGTCCTGGCTCGAACCTGCATCACATACATGGTGCCCGGCCGTAGTCCATCCACACGAGCCGTATTCGTCTGACTCCTCACCTGTGTGGAGTTCACCTCAGACAGCTCCTGAGAGTAGACAGAGAGAGATGTACACGTTTTTCAAACAGATTTCACACATTTGTTTCTCCCAGATAGCAATGAGACCAAATGGAGACCTTTGCTTAAGTCCATCACTTATCAGATGTTTCCCTTTAGAAAAAATACCCTAAAAATTGCATATTTGTCTCTTTTAGAGTTTTAGAAGAGATCTAAACAATGTCACAAACTGTACTCAGACGGTCTGCAATGATAGTCAGAGATCTCAATATAAGCTCAAATTATTATCATCAAAGTCCAAATTACCTTTTATCTACATTATTTAAACTGTATAGCTCTGTACACGTACTCAGTTCTCCAAAATTATTATAGGAGAAACATCTGAAATGACATTGATACCTAAAAGAAACGAAAACTGAGCTCTCTATTTAGGCTTGTGAGCTATAAAAATGGAACCTCTGGCTCTAAGCAATAACACTTTCCTTTTTTGAACGGGAGTTTAATAAAATGAGGCTCTTTGAACAGCCGCAGTCGAGCACTGATTCCATCAAAAAAAGGACATTTAGGAGCAGACGAGACAGTAATGTGTGTGAGTGAAAAGTGATGAGATTTCACTTTCTAAACTCCATCAACACCTCACCAAGAGAAAGTGTGTGTACTGTAAGTGTGTAGAGAGAGAAAGAGGTAGACTATAATTGGCCAAATAATTCATCCTGTTATCATAACTGTCTTTATCACATTCGAGCAGTGGACCAGGAGTCCCCTATTTTAACATTCAAAAGGAATTGTATCAAACTACTAACCGTTTCATCCCTACTTGTAACCCTCAGACTAGAGTGAGCTTGGCGACCCCTGGTAAACCTTTAGCGACCCCTAGTGGGGGTCAGGACTAATATATATATACTGTATATATATATATATATATATATATATATATATATATATATATATATATATATATATATATATACATACACACACACACATAGATGCCTCATTAGTGGCTGTTTCTATGGTCCGCAATACGCAAGCCATCCACCATATTGGAACAGTCGAAGCAAAAAATTCGAGACTAAATTGTCTGCAACCAAATTTAGACGCATGTATGATTATCTATATCTGCAATAGACTTCAGCAGATGATTTTGCTAATCTAACACAATACAACACGGCGAAGGCATTAGCTAACACGTCATTAAAAAAGTTGCCATAGTATAAAAACCTGTAAAATTGAGTTCATACATATTAAAACACAAGCCAACAAATTCTCACCTGTGAAAGGTTATCGCATTCCTTCAGGAATTTCAATCTCGGCGGTTTCACAACCAGAAGTGTCTGGTTGTCCTTTGAAGTATATGTCTATCATATACATATCTATGGTCCCAACCCCCAGCATTATGCCTGCTACAAACTCTGCAATTTGGGCAAACTCATAAGATCAATTCAAATCACACTGTACGACGTGGATCTAATAAACTTGGGTACGCCGTCGCCATGTATGTAGACTGTACCTTGATGACACCTATTGAATCGTAGGCTACAATGCAAGTTAAATATATAGTGCGGTTAGCAATGTATACATTTTTCCACAGCAGCTTTCAAGTCAACATGACCTCGAAATTGACCATTTAAGATCCAATCAATTTCTGATTGAAACAAATCTAATCCTTTCCTACATTGTTTCACGTTGAATACCTCAATTCATTTGAGAATACAATCACGTTATGGAAGTGAAATGTGTTGTAAACAGTGTTTCATGTTAACCTTAAAAACCAGCCTCCTTTATACTTCAAAAAAATAAGAAACCAGAAAGCTTCCTGTTAATTTGGAAGAGATGAAAGGCAAAGAGTAATTTGAGAAATATGGAAAAAGCTCAATAAAAGAAAGAAAACTTGCAGCACTACTTTTCACAGGACATAGAAGCTCATTCACCTGTCAGTTAATGTCTACTGATGCGGTTTCATTGGATTTTCGTTTGCACTCATCAGTCAGCTCAAATCAAAATGTGCCATGATATAAGACACTGAACCGATAAGAGTAAACCAGGATGAAATCTTGTGTGTGAAAATTAAATTAGACTGGTTCATTTCAACTATAGACGGTTATAAAATGCAACAAATAAGATTTATACTCTGATATTGATGATGTAATGCGTCACCTCAGTGTGTGCATCTGTTCAAAGTCTAAAATATACAGTATAATCCACTGGCAAGCAACGGCACTGGTTTAAACACAGTTATCACCCATAATCATCCCAAATTATTATTGAAAATGACTTAATTTTGTTATAAAAATCATAAAAAAACATTGTAAAAATCATAACTTTTTTTTAATCAACAGTTCAATCAATCATTGTAATTTTTACAACAGAGATGAATCAACACTGAACTTACTTAAACTTCAGTGACACTGTTTTCTTACCAAGGCTGCATTTATGTGATAAAAAAATAAATTAAGTAAAAATATTGTATTATATTATTATACAATTTTCTATTTTAATATATTTTCAAATGTAATTTATTTCTGTGATGCAAAGCTGAATTTTCAGCAACATTCAGCAAGTCTTCAGTGTCACATGATTCTTCAGAAATCATTCTAATATGCTGGTTTGCTGCTGAAGAAGCATTTCTTATTATTATCAATGTTGTAAACAGTTGTGCTGCTTAAAGGTGCAGTATGTAAGATTGACAGATAGCGGTTGAAATTTTCAAAGAAACGTGTATGTGAACTTAGCCTTTTTCCTAAATATCTGCAAACATATTATGGGATTTGTATGCTTTAGAACAGTCAAAAATTACAAACAGCACCTTTAACAAGTTTGAGTCTTTCTTAGATGAATAGAAAGTTCAAAAGAACAGCATTTATTTGAAATAAAAATATGTTGTAACTTAATAAACATCTTTACTGTTGCTTTTGATCAATTTAAAGCATCCTTACGGAATAAATAAATAAACCTTTTGAATGGTAGTCCCTCCATTAGCTTCCCGAATACTGTTATGATCTATATGTCACATTTTTTTTCTGTGTCTGTTTTGTCAGTTTCTTTTTACTTTGTTCTGTGTTTGTGCTGTGGGCGAAAGCAAAAAAAGTGCCAAAATGAAACAGAATTTCGGGAGTGAGAAAAAGGAGACCGATTTAGTAAAGACTCTCAGATGCAGAAAAGCAAGACTTGCTGCAACATTCAATTTAGTTTTCAAGGTCTCATCAAAATTCACAGCAGCACGACGCTGAAAGCCCACGCTACACACGAAAAGCCCCACTGTGATGGCCGAAGGCGAAATCTGTTTCTTAACAACTGCAACATAATAACAATAATCAAGGGGAAAAATAACAGTGATATTAATAATTGAGGTTCATATCGTGTATGAGTGACATGTGAAGGGGCAGGAGGTTTTGGTGTGTTGTCAGTAATTTACCAAACAAGACGGTATGTCTAAATATGTGTCATCCTCACGGTGGTGAATGAGCAGAAATGAAAAGAGTCCGCACCTGACATCATCCTAGCCATAAAACACACATGAAGTGCACTAGAGCGTTGACATACTGTATAAATAATGAAGGACACTCACAAACACCATCATGACCTCACCACTGGGCCATCAATAAATAAGAACAGCTAGTGTCATTTAGGCCATCCAAAGAACAATTGTGTGTGTGTGTGTGTGTGTGACGCATCCTTTTTTAAAGGAATGTTGTCATCATTTACTCAACCTCAAGTCATTCCAAACCTGTATGACTTACTTTCTTTTTGTTGACTGATTATTTATTCTAAACTGTTCCATACAATGAAAGTAAAAAGGGATGGATGCTGTCAACTCATAAAACATCACTATAAAAGAAGTGACTAGTGCACAATACAAGTATTATATTATAATACTATATATTATATTAAGCTTGTGAGTATTCTGAAGTCAAATGACAAATTTGTGTTAGGAACAGACTGAAATTTCAATCAATATTTGCTGAATTACAAGATTTTGTGGGTGAACTAGCCCCTATTATGCTTTTTCGAAGATTACCTTTCATGTAGTGTGTTAAAGTTCTGCAAAGTATTGAATATCAAAGTGCACGATAAATGGAGGTATTGTCTTCAAAAAAATAAAGAACTGATTCTGATCTGCCTGTAAGCGGTAGACCAAATCACAACAGACTGGGTCATCTGACCAATCAGAGCAGAGTAGGCTCTCGGAAAGAAGGGGTTTAGAGAGACCAAATCCTTGATCGAATAGTTTCAGAAACTGAGATGAAGAAGAAGAGATGAACCTGCAATGTATATTGTGAGAAAGATTAAATGTTTTTAGACCTTGGATGCATGTAAACCGACTGTAGGAGACCTTCAGATCTAAAATGGGAGCCTTTAAAACAACATAATAAGGGCACTTTAAAAGCAGAAACCGTTAATAGTGAAAAAATAGTGTTTCCACCTTAATTTGCATACCCCATTACCTCTGGCGGTTTATTAACCCTTTAAATGCTTTGCGACAGATCACAATCTGCCTTAAAACCTGTCAGAAACACTGCTGTTCTGGAGATTAACAAACCGCAGTGCTGAGTGACACAAATTACCACAATTTAAAAATAAATAAATAACCAACAGCTCTTCATAATGAGCAGAACAAACGATCTCCGATTCTGTTTTGTGATTTCTTAAAGACTCTCACGTCTTATCAAGGATGCCTTTGATTGTGGCCAAACAAATTCATCTGAAAGAAACGGCAAAATTTACCATGTGAATATGTTCAGAATCAAATACTAGCATACTACTTATTGCACACTGCTCTTAGAACACGGTATGCTTCCCCTGGACATTCAAAAATACTATGGGAAACAGTATGCAAGCGATTATATTGTACTATAGCATGCCAAATTGTTGTATGATTTGATCAAGTTACATGCTTTAAGCAAAATGTTCATTAATAACAATATGATTTAAAAACGATTCATAATATTTTATTCTTAAAATATGAAAATCAGTTTAACCCTCTGGGGACCAGAGTGTTTTTGGGGCCCTTGGGATGTTTTGACATGCAC